GACCTGCCCCTGCGCCAGGGTAGAGCCTCCAGCTCCAAACCCTCCATGGGGCTCAGGGGAGACATGACTGTGGGCACAGGGGAGCCAATTCTCCCTCATATTGCTGGCTTTGGGTTTCCCTGAGTTCTTTGAAGGATACTGAAATGCCCTCTGCAGGACTTTCTGCACATATACTGATCTGCATGGACCCGAGATCCAGGTCAACAAAGATTATTTTTATGAGAAATAAAGACAAACTTGCTCTTCAACATTACCAAACCACCTGATATCTACGGGAGAGCCTCAGCTCTGCATCAGCACAAGGTATGACACGCACACTAAAGTCAGGGATTTTCTCTCATGCACACAGAGGGCACCTCTGTCAATATTTGACCATGTATTTCCATGGCACCTGGACACAGAAAATATCACTTGGCAGAACAGGAATTCTGCACGAGCCAGCACACAGCTGAAGTGCTGATGGAAGGATGTGCAAGTAAAAGAGCAATGCGCAGTCTTAAATGTATTCCAGTGTTTGGAAGACAAAGGGAAATTGGCTCCCATTCGTGTCATGTTTTCTTTCAACAGATATAGGCAGAACTATCTGTATTGAGGGAGTGAAGCAGTCTCACTGCAATTCACTGAAATTATGGACATGGCACAGCCTCCAGCAGCCTGTGGCAGGCATGAACAACTGATGGATTGCTGAGGGAAAATCCTGTGAAAAGACTTAATCTAATTCCCCCCAGTGTCACCAGTTACTTCACAAGCTACTGCTCAAAATCAACATTAATTCTGCTAAAATTTTACCCGCATGAACAGGAGGGGCAGGGGCTCCAACACAACAGACATGGCCAGATTCTCCTGCGTCCCAGGAATTCCAAGCCCCTTGCGGTCTGTTCCAAAGGCTGATGAAGCTGATAGAAAAGTGCCCAGAATTTCAACAGGCTCTACTCAAACTGTGCATATATATGTATATATACACACATATACTGAGCCAAATGCCCTTCCTCCTACACTCAGGGTTTTTTAAACTTCAAGTAGCAATCAAAGCACACTGAGTTGCTGTTACCAAGTGACGTGTTGGTTTGTCTCTTACCTTGCTCTTCTTATGTGTCATGGTACTTTTTATCAAAGAAACCACCACAAACAAAAGGGAATTTTAAGAATCTCACGGCATTTAAAAGCCATGAATGCCTAAATACCCAAGGATTCAAGGTGGTGCAAGTAGGCCAACTCTGCACCCACTGAATGTTTTACTCCAGCCTGCAGCAGGGCTTGGAGTGTGGCCAGAGCTAACTGGGAATCTCACAGATCCTTGTTTTATCAATAATTGTCTGGAAAAGCCTTCGGTGGAGGTATTGCACCATTACATGTCACAAATGGTTTAAAAAGCAATCAAATTAACCCTTGGCTGGATTCAAACACCCCTTTAAAGTCCTTCCAGGCTGCAGTTTGCACGTGGCACCTGAATTACACAAGGGCACCTGCAAGTTTACAGTGGCATCGCACACAGGGGAACCCTCCCTTTGCCTAAAGGGACCAAGGAGGTCACACCAGTGCTGTACCTCAGGTGACAGAGAGGAAAGCAAGGACAGCAGGCTCCATCTGCCCTCCCACAAGACCTTTCGCAGTTCCTCCAGAGCGGGAGCAGTTCAGCCCTTGGCAGAGCTCAGCACCAGGGCCAAAATGGCCCTCTGCAGCATCCCCGCAGAGCTCACCGAGGTGTTTCCTTCCGCATCCAGGCACTTGCTCCCGGGGGAAGAGGAGACACCTACCCCTGCTGGACCAGAAGGGTCAGGGAGGAATGTGAGGGGACACTCAGCTGGGTCAGATACCCCAACCTCCTCAGTGCTGCAACAAGAGCACAGCTGTTTCTGTGCAGGCCTCAGAACCTGCGTGTGTAGGTGTACGGTTGTGCCCTCCGCCTGCGTCACTGCCCGTTCTTCTTGGGAACAGTCAGGAAGAAACTCCTAGTGTTTCTTGGCTCCTGCACACATTTTTCACGCACAGGGGAGCACCTAGCCCATAGAGAACATTTTTTTCCTGCTGTAATCTTGATGGAAAATGCAGTTAGTGATGGAGGAAGGAATTCTGGAGACGGATGAAAAGTGCCTGAGGGAGAACTTACAAATGTACTTTGCACATGAGACATTGTGAACATGCCACCAAAGTCAAGAGAAGTATTAACAAGGCAAGGTGAAAGGGCAAGAGAATTTCCTGTCTCTCAGCTCCTCGGAGTCCTGCCTGCATTTCAGTGTGCTGGTTCACTCCGGCAAACCCAGGCAGCCCGAAAGGGCACCACGGGAGCCATCCGTCCTGAGACATGAGGTAGATTAAGCTGCCAATGTCCACCAAGTGTTGTGCCAGAGCTACAAAGATTTGTACCCAACAACCCAACACTTGAGATGCTGAGAGTCTCCAAAACCCACAGACACAGACAAGGCCTCTTGGGGGCCCTCCTTTAGTTTCCCTTCCTCGACAGCATCCCTCCAAGAAACACACACGAACATGGAATGTCACAGCCTTGAAAAGAAGGGAAAACACAAAACTCTTAGCCAAATTGTGCATACTCTGGGATGGCCTGTAACTTGGGGTTCCCTCCTGTCACTGACTCACCCTGCCCTGCTCCCCCCACCCCGAGGTGGCTGCTGGGCTGTGGGGCCCCACAGAGCAGGGATGCACCCAAGGGAAGCTCCCGGTCCTCCCTGTGACGTAAAGCTGCCCCAGCTCCCCGAGAGGCCCAGCTGTTGCCCCACAGCCTTTAAATTCGGCGTTGGCATCTCTTAAGACACTTCCTGGAACAGCACTCACGGCCAAATCCACTGCCGCGCTCCGTCAAACGGCCGGCAGGAGTCAATAGCACGCCGTTCATCATGGGATTTGCCACAACAATGGCACACAAACAGACCCGGCCTGACGCACCGAAATGATGTCAAACGAATTAGCTTTGCCTCGGTTAGTCAGCTGCTCTTGCACAGCTCGGCCCTGGCCTCTCGTGTCTCAACCCTGGCTGTGCTCTCTGTCAGAGGGGGCCGTGGAGAGGCATCTCTGCACCACAGCCTTGGACATAGAGGAGAGAGGAAGAGTTCTCACATTCCCTGTGCCCCCAACCAAAAACACTTGAGCAACAATTAAAAATAGCAAAGAGCGTTACAGATTTCATGGCGTGACAGAGACAAAGCTCCCACACTCGCATCCCTGGATCTCAGAGTGGTCCCTCGGCTTGGGAAGCTGAAAGTAATGGGACATCAATTTGCACTCAGTAACAGCCTGACTCTCATCAGCAGAGTCAGTGCTGCATTTTGGTCAGTCCTGGCCAGGAAACACAGCTTCAGATTTGAGTATCAGGAATTTGAAGTATAGAAAACTGCATTTTTGCTTATTAAAGGACAAAATACTGTTAAAAAGAAATGTCACTAGGGAATCTCTACAAGGAAACTTGCTTGCCAATATCACCAGATAAATTTAGTATGAGGTTTTCATTAGAAATTAGCTTTTAAATTACTCAGTGTCAAAACCTGGCCTTTGGATACCTTTGACCTTTTTGTGCATTAAAAAACTGAGCCCAGAGCTAAGCTCCCTTTTAAAGGTGGGCCTAATTCCACAACAGGGCAAAGCCCCACCAAACTATCAGGTGGAAAATTCCCCCGAAAGTGCTATGTAAGGCATGCCTAACTGCTCCAGAGAATAAATATTTAAAACAGGTTTAACCCTAATTTGTCCATGAAATTGTGTCTCACAATTTTTATGTTTATATTTATAAAAACGGAATAAGAGTTTAATTTGACTTGAACAACCTCTCATTCAGAGGTGGACTTGTCCACACAGGCCCTGGGCTTACACAGTAAGTCAAACCCTGCTCTCAGCCAAAACCAGCCTGTGCCTCAATTCCCAATCCCGACAGCCACAGGAGAGCGAGCTCTTCCCAGCTGTGCAGCCAGGAGGCCAGGGGGCCAGGAGTCCCAGTGCTCCCAGCAGCAGCACAGTGCCCATCTCCCTCTCATCATCCCCGCGGTGCTGGCTGTGCTCACCTCCCTCTGCTGCTCACAGAACCTGCTCTCGCTCCCAGTCAATTCAGCGAGAGTAGGAGCAGCCCCACACCGAGTCACGGTACAAGATTTTATTGCTGTCATGATAATTAATGACTGCTCACACTGAGCTTTTAATGAGTACCTGTGCTTTTCTGTTTGTTTGTTAACTGGGTTGTAAAGGAGTCGTCCCGCCTGGTTTCCTGGATTTGCAGGACAATAGGGACCTCTACAGGCGTTTCCCTGCTCAGAGCAAGGCTCAGGACAGGTCACTGCGGATGCCACCTTGCTGTCTGTCACCAAACTTGCACTCTACCGAGTCTGACCCTCCCAACACTGCTGCTGTGTCACTGATCTACTAGAGTTCTTCAAAGAACTCCCAGAAGAGTTATTGAAAAGGTCTGAAAATTTGATGCCTCTCCTTCAGGTGACTTTAATCCCTCCCTGTCTTAGTTCTCCACAGCACATCATTCCCGAAGCACTATTTTGCTTCCTAGGGAGGCTCTCAAGACAAATCCATTAAGGACTAAGAACTGCAGGGGTCACAGGAGCTTTCTGAACTTAATTATATCAATTACTTTGCCAAATTAGCCTTCTCCTTGTGGGATGCTTTGATGGACTAGAAATTAAATAAAACAAAAATTAAACATCTAATGAATGTTTTTGGCTCTCACTTTGCTGAGAGCCATATGACTTTTTGGGAGGTTGATTTTGTTCTGTTTGATTTTTGGTTTGGGGGTTTTTTGGCATAAAGTTGAGAGTCACTGGCAAGTAACCAGTTTCACAGGTAGTCCTCAGTACACAAGGCAGGACTTACACTCAGACCACGTGACAGGCACCCTTGTGCTGGCTGCAGCAGTGCAAACCGGGTTTGGACTTTTACTGCAAGTGGGATGGACCAGAAACCCTGCTGTGTCACTATCAAAACATACTCGGGATTACTAAGAAAAAGGCAAAATCTTCTCCAAGGGAAAACTGTCTCCTACCTACCTGCTTGCCACCAGAGCTCCAAGACCTTCTCCAGGAGACTCTGGCACTGTCTGCAGTGGCTGGCTGGCTCTTGGCCCAGGTGCTGCTGTGCCAGTGGCGCTCCGAGTGCGATCACGGCACTGCTGTTCACCACAGTGTGCCCCGGCAGGAAGGGCAGTTTGTAAAGCACAGCCCTCTTTTCCCCAGGCTTGCACCTCCCCGTTTGAAGCAGACCTTGCTGGGATCAGTAACTGCAGGCCACCCACACGCCAGAGCAGGAAGTGGGTGTCGAACTGAGGGAGGTGTTCAAGTCACAGCCCAGCACACCTGCACAGTGGCTGCAGATGCCAGCGAAGCAGGTTGAGGGCTGGGTGGCTTAAGGGCAACTCGGCGTGAGATGCGCTGCAGGAAAAGCCAGTACGGTTCCACCAGCCAGGATCACGCACAGGGCAAGCGCTCTGTCCTTTGCAAAGGATTATCCCAGTCTTTCATGTCTCTGGCTCGGCCCTGCCGAGCTGGTGCCCCTCACAGCTGAGGCAGGCCAGCCTAAAAGCCACACAAACACAGGGGCTCCTCTTGAAATGGCAGTTTTTGGCATGTGCAGCTAGAATGGGAAGGAGAAGTTTACAACTCTGTTAATTATGCCATTACAGAAGGACTCTGAGCCTGATAAATAAGCCAGGAAAGATGATCCTGATCCTTTGACAGGCCAGTTCTGCAGGAAATTCAGCACCGTAAGCAGCAACACACCATACCAGGCTGGCAGCATCTGTCACTGATCAAGGCAGGGCTCAGCAGGGCTGACTCCACACAGCGATCTGAGGCAGGGCAGGTTTCCTCAGCCAGAGCACTGCACCAAACTGCACAGTGAGTCAGGCAGGCAGGGATGCCTCGAACACAGTCTGGGCCTGCTCCAGGCCTGTGCTTCAGCATGAAGGGCACACAGCACCCAGGTGGCGAGGAACCCATTTCTGGAAGCCTTGACACCACTTGACAAAAAAAAGCTAAAATACGGCAAAGACCTCCGCTTGCTTGCTTGCTTCCTTCTTCCCATCTTTGTCTTTCCATTTTATTCTCATTCTACCCTGACACAAAGTCTCATTTTGTGTGGTGTTTCATTCTCCAGCTTTTCTTCCATTAACAAAAAAAACTCAGCAAACTCGCACTGGCAGCCCTTCCAAAGCTTCCTTGGGCCAGAAAGCCAACTAGAAAAACACATTTCACTATATAGTCTCCTGTTAAACTGTGGCCTTGAAGTAAACCTTCCTTTTCAGTCACGTTTAACTAAACGTGAAAAAAAATTAAGTAGTGTGTGTTTCTATAGGTATAGAATGTCTCACTACAATGAGTAAATACTTTTGAAGAAGGACTTGCCTATCCTGTAAGGCACCTGCTTGGACACCGGTACACGAAGGGTATAAAACATATCAGTAAGGGACATACAAACAGCTAAAACCAAACCAAATCCATCTCTCTCCAACAGCTTTCTTTAGGCAAGGCCAAGTCCAGCTGCTCAAACTCCTGCCCTCAGAACTTCTTTACCAACTGCACATACCCCCTGAGGATGGTGTGTGCCTGCTCCAAGACAGAGCCTCTTCGATGAAGGAGGGTTGGTCCCTGGGGGCTGAATCCAGCACTGGCAATGTGCACACAGGAAGACACAACTCACTGCTGAGAGGGAGATTCACTCATGACAGCCCTGAGGCTTTTCATCCTTTGGATACTTAGCTCTAAATTTTTCTCTGAGATCAATAATGAAGATCTCTCACCTTTGTTTTCCTGATACCATGCACGTTTTCAATAGGCATTTCCATGTGAGAGGGGTGAAGGGTGTTTTTTGTCTGTGCCTCAGTGTGGATGCACAGACTGCAATTCACATATCCATTGCCCTCTCACTACACACATGTGACACAGAAAACGTCGGGGCCACGACTGAAAGCTGGGTAGAAAATTGTGAGGAGCACAAGCTGTCTGGCAGTGGACACTTATAAAAGGTCAGAAGAACGGAAAGGAGCAAACAATGCAGAGATCTGAGGATTAACTTGAGATGAAGAAGACAAAAAGGCTGAGTTGGAAAATACTAATGTTGATGTGCAGAGGAAAGGACTGGTCTCAATCCAGGAATGTGCCGCTTGCTCGCTCTGGTATGTGGGATTCCAAACTGCATTTGATGTGCTGTTTTATTAGTTGGTATCAAATGGAGAGCCGAGATGGTTCAGCTACTGACCAGGACCCCCATGTAAGAAGCCCCCTGAACTCCAGACCACTCGAGTGCCACAGGCACCTTTACCCTTTCAAACCCCACCTTTCATTCGCATATCAGCATTGTCACCATAGCCTCACAAATACAGTTTTTTCAACAAGCAACACGCCTCCTGCTTGAAAATTAACTCACATAACAAAGAAACTCAGCTTTCAGCAAGTCACCTGAATTTAGGAGCTGATATTACCCCACAAAATCTCAAAGTACCAACTGCCTTTCTCTGGTAGATGACAGCAGATGAGTCTGCAACATACAACAGCCGAAATGAAAACCTCTATCTACAGTCTTGTCAGCACTGGCAAACACTCCAGCTGTTACTGAGAAGTCCCAGTTAGTTCCACCATCTTCAGAATCAATTTTCTTCCCTTTTCTTTGAAAAAAATCTTTGTACCTTTGTAAGTCTTTGTAGACAAGATGAAGAGAGCCAAGCATCCGATATGTAATCTGTTTGTCCAGGGTGGAACCCAATCCCTAAGATAATTTTTTTCTTATTTGAGTGATCACATTGTGCTGGTAACATGACAATTGAGTAAAGAGTCTGTTTCCTGTGTACTGAAGTTCTATGAAAAATTCTAGCTTCTCTAGAAATTGAAGTCTTTTGCAGAAACCAGGATGCAGCAAGACAATGTTCTGCCTCTAGTTCCATCGATCTGAGGAGCTGCTGGATGATGTTTGGGATGAGAAGGGTTCTTTGTCAGGAGCACACTCCATAATCCATTTTGAGAAAGATGTCTGGTTCCTTTGCTTGCTATGAAAACAATAAGAGCATGCCATGCCCACAGGTGTCATGATCTAATTTTCCAGGAATGGCTTAGTCTCTATTCCTAAGTTTAAGGAAGCTTTTGCTAACCAGTCATTTTCCTCAGTCCAAAGCATTTTAGTTTTGTCCTTTATGGCACCAGAAGCCTCTACTTGGCCCATGACACTGGAGGTAACAGCTGAGTTAGAAGAGAGATGTTTATCCACACACGCAGCCAGCAGACACCAAAATCAGAAACCAAAAGTCTTCTGGTCAGTGCCTGATGTCCATAATACAGCTCATTGTGAGAGTGGTGGTGCTTTTCCTCCAGAGGAGAAAAAGAACTAAAAACAAACGAAAAAACAAACCAAAACACACAAAAGATCAAAGCAGAACACTGTTCCAGGGCTTGAAATGACTGAAAGCAGCTAAAACCAACCAGCTCCTCCCCTTGGCAAACACCAGTCACAGGAGAGGTGTCAAGAGGCCTGCCAGTGCCCTCAGCTGTTTGGACCTGAGCGTGAGCCACCTTTACCAAGGAGAGGAGGTCTTTCTTCAGCACTAAACAGAGCCTGTCAGTTCTGCAGGAGTTGCCTTTGCATGCTCCTCCGCCATTCCCTCGAGTTCATCTCCTCCGCGAGGCTGGGGCACCTGTCAGATGGTGCAGGGGGGCTTTCCCAGCAGCCCTTCTCCTCCTTTGCAGGCAAACTGGTGAGTGTCCCAGTGCCAGATCTTCACAGCGCCGTCTCGCCCACGCACACTTTGTAGGGGGATTTCAATTTCCTGCATCTAAAATGGACACCATCGTGTGATTTTTATCAGACAAATCTAATAGCACAGCACACTGAACGGAACCAGTCTAATCACCTAACTCATTCAGGCGGCCCAGACAAACCCCACATTTCAGACAATCACACCGCTGACCCACTGGCAGAAGGGAATGCAGAGGTATAGTGTGTTAGCTCCTTTAAGGTCACACCACAGATGAGCAACAGGCAAGAACACACTCCCAGAGCTCTCCAGTTCATATTTTTGCAATCAATTAACTCAATTAATGGATCGATTAATTCAGATTAATGCAATCAGAAGGTTCCATATCTCCCATACCTCTTTCTTACGTAGCAGTAGATGATGGCAAGTATTCCACCGGTCAGTATTCCTACACCAATTCCCACAGCTATGTAACGCTCATAAGAATCATGTGCGTATGAATTCAGTGTTAAGTGTTCACACCTTTCTCCATTATAACCTGCGAGGCACCTACAGAAAAAATACACACCATGCAAAAGTTATTCAGAATTTGTTATGCTTTCTATTTCAGACATGTGCTAGTTTTCATCAGTTTTAAACAAATCAGAAGCCTGAACGAGGATGGGCTGAACCTGGTGCTCAGTCAGAACCTCTTCCCTCCACCAAGACTACTAGGTGTCCCAGTTTATCTAGCTTAAAGCTAGCAGTCCCAACATCCCCTCATGGTGCAGGGTGTGGACTAAGAGCACTGTGCTCTGATCATCCTTATCTGCTGCAATGTCTCCCAAGGCTAAAGCTGCCCAGTAAGGAGCCTATAGAATTTGAAGGACACCATGGTCCTGGTTGGCCTGAGGTACATGTGGAATAAGGGAGTTGCAGCTGACATTTTGGAAGATCCTGTCCCCTTCATCTTGCCCACTGAGAAAAACCTCCTTATTCCTCTACTACATACCAGCTGTGATCTGAAACGGCACCACGGCAGTGACCTACAAAGCTGTGAATTCCCCTCCTCCCTTCCTTAGTTAATTTACACTAGTAGAGCATTACAGCCTCTTTAGCAGTCCCGAGACACCACAGCACTCAGGTCTGTGCCACATTTTAAGCTTGCAAGTACTTGACTGGCACTAAAAAGCTGCATTAGTACCACGCAGCAGATAAAGAAGCAATGGCAGTGCTATTTTTGGAGAAGGATACTAAAAAGCAGCATTCTTTACTTGCATATGGGTTTCCTCAGCTCGCTGTGGAAGGCGCAGAGCCCATTGATACAATAGCTGTGGTGTTCCTCAAGGCAGGTCTGCATGAGCTTCAAGAGCTTTGGCTTCTCTGTGTAATCCACTGGGAAACAGAGTAAAGTCATGTTAAGTTTAGCACAAAAAAACCACTTGACTACACTTACACAATTGAAGCAGAACCGCCATTGTGTACAGCAAATACTTAATATATTGATTTTACTGTGTTCTGTCTCAAGAGCAGATTCAAGGAGCATGAAACAGAACAAGATGCTGAGGCATTCCAGCACGGCTTTGAGAAAGCACAAACTGTAAATCAATTACTTGCTCTTGACAAATGTGTACAAAACTGATTATGGGAGATTCATCCAGGGTAACACCAGCATTAACCAACCTGCAATCCAAATAGGAAAGCCATCCCAGGAATAGCAGGGGTTTTGGACACATGAAGAGCACTGCATTATTCTCTGTATCCCTCCCAGTTTGAATTCAAATTAACAGCTAATTCATTTTTCTTCTTTTCCTGCTCACAAGACAAACTACTGCATTTCTAGCACTCTTGCTTGCCAGCTCTTGCAGCCATGAGGGAGGATGAATGGTGGGACTGCTCCCTCATTCCTCCACATTCCAATGTTAGCAGTGTCCAACGACACTAGTAAGCTCCCAAGACTGCCTGGATGGTCTTTCTGTGTAAAAAGCTCGGTCCATGGCTACCAAGCTTCTGAACTTGTACAAAATTCCATGCATCCAGGTCAGCAAGCACACTTCCTGCACAGAAAATGCTACCTTATTCTCAGGTGTGGTGGTTCAAATGGGAATAAAGAAGCCACGGGAGCAGGGGTGCGGCAGGTGGAGGGAAAGCTCCAAAGCTTCACCGTCACTGCAAGCATCTGTTCCAACTGGTCTCTCTGCTCAGTTACAGGAATCACTGGTGGGGTGGGGTGTCCCAGCAATGCCTTACTATTTCAGGGGACTGCTTAGGTGCTGGCTGAAGGTGATTTCCTAACCAAGTGCATGTCAACACCAGCTTTCAGTTATGACCACAAGAAAAATAACATCATGCAGGAAGGTGACAAGGTCTGCTCGGAGTGACTCAACAATGGTACAGCAAGCAGAACCCTTCCTTTCTGACTAAGTGCTGAATCAAGGTCTGGAGATACTACATGGAACCACTGCCAGGGACAGAAGCCTCAACCAAGCCTATGGGTAATTCACAATCCCACTACACATCTTTCAGGAGTAACAGCACTGACCCCCTAAATTCTACATCAAATTCCAGTTTGAGACATTTAATGGCAGAAATGTCCCCTATGTGCTCTACTAAGCTGATCTTTTCTTCCTCCTCCTGCAGTTTTATCACAGAGATGACACACAATGGCAGACAGCTGCTCTAGCAATTCACAACTTCAGCTGTGAATGATGTGGTTTGGACACCCAAAAGGCATGATGCTATCACTGATATTCAGATCAAACACGACTACTTTGAGAACAGTGCCCTCTCAAACCTGACAGAGTCATCAGACTCCCAGCTCAGCAAGAGGACTTAGGGAGAACAAGTAACAATTCAAGTCTGATTGAAGAATGCCATGTTGGTTTACTACACTTCCTCAGGAAAAGCCACAGATGTAGAAGAAAGACCTGTTGCTTTAGAACAAACTTCTAAGGGCATCTTACCCATTTTTGCAAGGGAAAAAAAAATCACAAGTTTCTCTTCACATTGTGGAGCCTAGAAAACAATGAAAGGGAGCAAGTTGTTCTGGCTCTAGAATCCAGGTATGGCTCTTTTCTGGCTGGCTCCTGGAATGTTGCTGACAACCTCCAGGGACAGGCTGAGGCCACAGTCAGCATAGGACCAGGCCTTCAAAGGACAGACTTCAAGAAGAAGTTAAGAGAGGACAGACATCAGGAAGAAAGACAGATTTTGTGACAAGAGATGGATGACACTACTATCTGCACGGGAGGACTGTACACTGCTCTCTGATGGGGAAAGCACGAAGGAAAGCAAGGCATGTGGTCAACACAGCTGCGCAGCTGGGCCTGCCAAGGAGATGCACGATGCAGAGGATCTGCAAAATCCCATTTTCAATTAGGCCTAATGTACCTTTTACATTAGACCAAATTAGACCAAAGCTCTGCAGGGAAGAGTTTCAGAAAATAGGCAGTGGTACATTCATGTT